TTTTTCCTTGTGCGTCAGACGCCAGTCCCTCTCCCGAATGGCTTCGCCTCCGCCGCCCAGGCGCCACCCAAAGTAGAGAAAGAGGAGAGAGTGTCTCCGTCGGTGCAGCGTGACCAGAGGGAGAAAACCAGAACCGCGACAACAAAAGAGCCGCGGGAGAGAAAGGAGCTTCCAGCTGCTCCGCCCAAAGCAAAGGAAAAGGAGAAAGAGCGGGACGGCGAGAAGGAGAAGCGAGCGCAGCCGCAGCAGGACAAAGCCGAGAAACGGGCCGCGGCAACGGAGCGAAGTAGAGCAAAGGAGGAGAAGAAAGCGGTGGAGAGGAAGGAGAAGGCCGAGCGCCCACCCAAGTCCAAGTCGGCCAAAGTGAAGGCGGAGCCGCCGCCGAAGAAGAGGAAGAGGTGGCTGAAGGAAATACCTTCGTCATCTGACTCGGACTCATCGGAGGAGGCAGCTAGTGAGAATGAAAGTGAGATGCCGTTTTTTGATTCTTTTGTGCTAGAAGCCACTGTTTGGTTGCAGCGCCTGTTCTTTTGCACCATGTTCCAATGATTTTCGGTGATGTCGCTTCAAACTCTCGATTTCTCGTGTGCGCTCAGTGCCCGTGAAAGGAGGCGTGAACAACCGGGCCATGAGGGAGATGTTCAGGAGCTACGTGGAGATGCTGGTCAGCACAGCGCTGGACCCTGACATGATCCAAGCGCTGGAGGACACGGACGGTGAGAACCGCATTCACACATATTTAGATTTTCTTAATAAAGCAAGTGTGACCGGTTGAGGGGAGGCCTGAGAATGCTGGTGGACAGAAAGAAGCTGCTTTGAATCTGCAGTGATGGACGGCTACGTGAATGGTGACTAATGAAACTTCCTTTCCCTCGATTGGCCACCAGATGAGCTGTACCTCCCACCTATGAGGAAGATTGACAGCATCATCAGCGAGCAGAAGAGGAGGTTGTTGAGGAGAGTCGGCATGAGCTCTCAGCACCAGGTAATCCGTCCGGAATTTACTGCTTCTCTCTCGGGTCCCTTGTGACTGAAATAATGTGACAGATTCCAGTGCTGAAAACATCAGTGGAGCGATTCAAGTCTTCAAACAGAAAATGGATGGGCAGCAATTATCTTGTAGCTCATGAATCAAACAATAATTCTGGCATATTTTCTTACATTTCTACCGTTTTTTTGGTGTTTTTTTTCTTCACATCTCTCCCCTGACAGGAGGTCCTTCACGCTTACCCCCAGATCATTGTGGACCCCCTGGACTCAGGAGCCGTCAGGGTGCGCCTTAGTGGGGATGCTTACAACCGAAAGACCCTCAACAGAGTCAAAAAGACCCTGCCTAAGCCACAGGTATGTGTGAGTGTTTGGAGGATTAAGTATAATTTAAATGATTTGTAGGCGTCGCTTAATAGGTCTTTTTTCTATTAGTTGTCATATGGGAATGCACAATTGGGACCTCTATGCAGCCTCCATCTTTAGCCTGTGACCACGTGATTATTTCTGCTTTCCTCACTCAATCTGATGATTGTGATGATGAACCTGACTTCCTCGTGTTTTTCTCTCCCCAGGACCTTAAACTGTCAGCTGAGACGTATCGCATCTACAGCCTCTTCCACTCGCTGCATCACTATAAATACCACACCTTCTTACAGTGCAAGAAAGAGGTGAGCAAAAACACCTCACGGGAGCGCACACGTCTCATTAGACTAAGCCAAAAAAGTGGGGCGGCTTCGCGTAGCCCAAGATGACTTGGTTTGGGTCTCAATTGTCTGCGCTTTCCGTCCCAATTCTCCCAGACAAACTCCATCGAGCAGGCTGCTGAGGACCCGGGGCAGGAGGAAGTGGTGCAGCAGTGCATGGCCAACCAGAGCTGGCTGGACGCCCTCTTCGGCTCCTGGATCGAGCTGCTCACGCTCAGCACCAAAGTCTGAGTCGACCAGAGACGGACGGCGAGAGAGGGCGAGAGAGAGCATCGACTAAAGCGAGAGGATTTTTAAAAAAAAACTAAAAGACGATGCAAAGAGATGGATCCTACTGTACAGACCCCCCCCCCCCGACCCGCTTCAAGGCTCTTAGGAGCTGAGGATGGATTTTTAAGGCCCTTGACGGACACCAGACACTAGCAGGTCCATTCATGTGACCTCAGACACTGGCCTCTGCTCTTTTTCTTGTTACTGATCACTGACTAAAGAAATGTCTTACTTTGTGAAAGGGGGGGGGACCCCTACAGGATCAGGGGTCACTGGCTGGGTGGAGAGGGTTTGTCCCTTCAGGGGACAGTGTGGGGGGGGGGGGGGGGGTGTGAAAGGACAAAGAAGAGCAGCCCTAACGCCAAGTCAACGGAGGAGCCACTGACGTCTTGTTACCTTTTGTGTCATGAAGAAAATAGTTCAAAAGAGAAACTATTACCACTTAGTTTTTACATAAATTATTTTTTTGAAGACTAACATCCGCTGTTGGCTTTTGAACAGAGTGGAAGAGGGTGAGAATGCTTTTTAAACCGCGTGGAGAGCGTGCCGTGCGCACAGTGAACACTGACTCGTCCACGGATAGAAACATGAAGCGTGTTCGTAGACTCTCTCTCTCTCATCCTGGGCAGCGCCTGTCCGCTGTGTGGTAATATATAAACACATTTTTATTATTTATATGAGGAGGTTTTTAACTTTAAACTCTCACAAGCGCCGGGTTGCTGCCCTAACATTTTAAAACCCTTTTAATTTCCCACAGGATCAGTATACAGCCGTCACCCACACAGCCGAGCCGTCTTCCCCTCTATTCAAAAGAACGGACGCCGAGACTGAAGCGTTGTATCAAATACAGTGGGTGTAAAGTAACAAGGTCAAAAGAAAAAAAAAAGAAGAGTGGGGAACATCTATTTGAAACTTAACATTGTCGTGCTTCAGTTCAATCATCCGTCATGCAGGTGCAAAGAAAAAGAAGTAAACTTTCCATTTCCCATGTGGGAAGAAGGAGTATAAATACGTAATATTTAAAGAGGAAATAGTCATTTCATTTTTATCATTTTGATGTTTGTGCATACTATGACTTATTTTGAAAACAATCTAATTTTCCATAAAAAAAAGGAAAAAAAGGCTTGTAAATATTGTACAGTTCTTGATGAAATTCTTTGTCCTTCTGTACATTAACTCTCCTGTATTTGAGAAACAAATAAAATCTGCAAAGAACAAATGGTGTTTTGTGTGTGTGTGTGTGTGTGCGCGCGCTTTTACACACCTTTGTGAGGACATCTCTGCTGACTGACTTGTGTCATCACAACTATGGACGGGACACAACCTGCACAATTTTGTACACCAATCTGTCAAAACCGTTGAGCAATTTTCTCAACAGTCAACTGATTTTTCATTGAGGTGGACGTGTTAAGAAACTCTAACCTCTCGACTCGTCTTTTTTTTTTTTCAGTGGAAAAGACTGAACTAAACCCATTTTGTGCACAAGGGTCCTCACAAGCTTAGAAAAAATTAAAAAATCACTCTCTCCCCCTAGTGGCAACGGCTGGTGTGACACGCCCTGACGTCACACGTCACGTGTTGAAAACGAAACCGACGATTCGGAGTTTCCCGTGAAACCTCCATCGGTCCCGGGTGCAGCGAGCGGCGCGTATTTCAGGAATCCGTCGCTTGAGCTGCTTTCTTCACACGCTCACGGCCGCTGTTCTGCACCACGTCCCTGTCTTTGAACCTTGTGAACATCTGTACTCGACGTCTGTGCTTTAAGTCAACGCTCATTGGCTGGAGTCCAGGTAACCGGCAGGTGAGTTTGGAACATCTGACCTGGGTTTACTCGAGTCGGTTGTTGGCAACACTTTCCCTGTTGGTTTTGTGCTTCACACTTTGACTCGTTGAATCATTTTACTGTAATTTGAGGTTCTTTGTTTTTGATTTTTCTTTGATTCATGTGACAGTGTTTTTGATACTGAATGCGGAGCCACAGCTGACCTCATAATCCTCCTGCCTCCTTATTCATGCGATTCGGACATTACCAAAATTATTAGATATTTTCCAGCTGCACAGTAGCTCAACTGTCAGGATGTTTAATTTTTTTTAATTATTTTCATAATTTATGGACCCGGGAAAGACCGAATCATTCCAATATTACACTTGCTCTACAAATATATATTCTCATATTTACCTACTTTAACAGTTTATAAAAACATGCAATGTTAACTTACTTTAAATTTACTTTTACTTCATTATCATTATTGACTCCACTACTAAAACATCTAAATCTAAATATTTTAAAGATGTGTCCGCGTATTCTAATGACTCAATCAATATCAACCATGGTGATTAAAAATCCATCCGGCGTTCGGGGATGCCAAATGACGCCCCGTCCCACACTGTTGACGCGATATCCCGTCCTGCAGAAATGTCTCATTCTAAGCCGCTGCTCATCCCGTGGCTGCGGGCCGAGATCGACAGCGCCAAGTATCCCGGCGTGTTCTGGACAAACCCGGAGCGGACCGAGTTCTCCATCCCGTGGAAACACGCTTTGCGACAGGACTCCTGCAACACGGACGTCCTCATCTTCAAGGTTAACCTTTCGTGTATTCATTGTGTCCCACAAAGAAAGAAAGTATCGTATCGCCAACCTGCGTCTCCCCTGCAGGCCTGGGCGGAGGTGAGTGGCGGCGGCCGTGCTCACGGTGAACCCTCGGTCTGGAAAAGGAACTTCCGCAGCGCCCTGCGGGTCAAAGGCTTCCAAATGGTCTCCGACGACAAGAACGACGCCGCTAACCCCCACAAAGTGTTCCGCTGGCCGGGGGACCCCCCCCCGGGAGGTGAGGATCCACCTCCAAGTTCGACTTTCACCACCACCAAAGGAAAAAGGACTATTTCCTCTGATGAGCAGTGTTTTAGAAATCACCCACTAACTACAATGAATGTAATGACACGTGTATGAGAAATGTGCTCACTGGCTCCTTGATTTGAAAACGATTCTTCTCAATGTATTGGTAACCTCATTGCCTCCTCTGGATGATCATCACATCTCCATCTATGTTGCGTACGTTTGGGTTTGGGTTGATGTTCCCGAGGTCGAGGGGGTAACACAGAGGGGATGATCGCAGAGGTGTCTCTGAGTAAAAGATGTCAACTAAGCTCTTTGCTTTCACTCTCAAAGCCAACTCCTCGGCCGGAACCCAGGACCAAAGCTACCCCGATTTGTTGGCGGATTGTCACTCTCCTACACAAGAAGTAAGCAACTTTGCTTTGGTGTTTGTAGGGACGCTGGATTTTGAATGAGATTGCCGTGTATGTATGCAATTACATGTGAACTCATTCCAATGTGTAAATGTGATATCTTAGAGCCAGCCTGTCCAATGCTTTGAAGAAGGTCTCTTGTACGCAGGTAAGGAACCGCTAGCCGTCTCCTTGGCCTGCGTTCGGTATTTCAGAAGCTACGGTTAGGTCATTATTACTTCATCGCTTCCACAAATCCGGAAATACCTTTTCCAGAATATCTCTGAACCAACCGATGTTTCCCAGGTGAATCCGCCGCCAACCAGGACATTCTCCAGGAGTGCCTCCGGGGACTGAACATCAGCCTTCAAGAAGGTAGACTCGCCGTATCACGCGCTCCTCACTGCTGCAGTGTGAGCAGAAAGCCGCCACGGTGTTGTTCTAGAAACACTCACTCGCCTCCTGCAACATCTCCGCAGAGGGCTGCGCAGACTACGGTCCCCTTCCTGAGAATCAACTGCTGCTAAACCAGGTCGTGACTGATGCGTTGCCCGGGCAACAGCAGTATCCGGTCATGCTCGAGGGTGCAATCGCTGAAGTTGGGTTGCCCGAGCAAGCGGCGAGTTCGATGGAGGGAGCCGTGGGGGGCGGCTGTGACGGGGAGTTGGTGGACCACTTCCTAGAGACCATGTCCAAGGCCAAAGACGGAGAGAATTTCAGTAAGTGGACGAATGTTAGTGTTTTGAGAAAGTGGTTTTTTTTTCACGCTGATATTCGTCAATGACTTCCCTCACTCGGTATTAATATCTAACGCCAATTAAAATATTGCAGCCCGTCGATTAATGTAGTTCTTTGCCTTTGTGGTCTTTTGAATACAGTGAAGAATGATGCGCCTTCTCATAACCGTCTCCTATTTCTGAATCCATAGAGACTCATTTCAGGATATCGGTGTACTACAGAGGGGTGTTGGTGTCTGAGCAGCTGGTTGAGAATGAATGTGGAATTCGTCTAGTCTACAGGTAACATGACAATAAAGCTCTCAGCAGAAGAAACAAAGTCTCACACATGGTCAGTATCTCCAGGTCAGCTTCGGATCAGCCGTCACAGGTCAAAGGAATCATTTCACTTAAAGCGCCGCCGGAGCCACTGGCCGCTTAGCTTAGCGTAAAGACCGAAAACAGGGCGACCCAGCCGGCACGTTAGCATATTAGCTTATCTGCAAAAATGCCTAACTCTTCGTCTATTGTTCCCCATCATCTTAAAATCAGGCCCGAACTCGACGGCACCGTTTTGGACCATGAGTCCGGCCTGTCGCTGGTCTCTCTGCCGAGTCCCAGCGCCATGCTGGATCAAACCCAGGCCAAACTGACCCAAAAAATCCTAGACGGCCTCGGCGATGGTTTGGACGTTGGGGTGTCAGGCTGTGTGGTCTACTGCCACCGACGGGGGATCAAAACATTTTGGAGCTTCTCCAAGTACGACCGGAGCAATCAGACGCAAGAGGTTCCTAAACTGGAGCCTCAGCCACTGTTCCAGTTCCAGGGCTTTGTGAGAGGTGGGGAACCGAATGGTTATGTCGCTTTTTTTTTCCCAGTGTACCCCTGGAAACGTGTGCCGTAGTTCGCATGTTCGACTCGATGTAGTGATCGATTCTCCTTTCCCATAAGAAATCTTGGACTTCATCAATGGGGGAAAAAGCCCTCACTGCTCCCTGTTCTTCTGCCTCGGGGAGAAGTGGCCGGACCCAGAAAACAAGCCTTGGGAGAGGAAACTCATCACCGTGGAGGTGAAGTCCCTTTGAATTATTCAAATGCTCTCATGGACCTGAACGCCGTATTTCAGTGTTATTGTTTGATTTCAAGTGATTAAATTGTGGCGTCTAACCCTTCGTCGTTCTGCTCATCGCACCTGACCCTCCGCTGCCCGTTTCCTTCGTCCTCCTCAGGTGGTCCTGACGTCAATGGAAGTGCTGAAGAACATCGCGGTCGCAGGCGGCGCCTCTTCCCTGCAGTCTTTGGACCTGCAGATGTCCCTCGAGGAGATGATGGAGATGTAGTGACGCACTTTGTTTTAAAGAAATAACACCTCAACACCCCAATATTGTCTCACCTGGAACCCTTAGTTCCTAGAAGTGTTTGTTAAACGATAAACGCTCTCAACAAACATATAATGTTCAAAACATCAAACTCAACTGTTCAATTCAAGTCTAAATGTTTTTTGATGAGTATCGGCACGATCGGGATCAGGAATCAGGATCCTGATCCTGCACACGAGCACAATCCGAGACGACGGATCACGACAACGCACCGCTTGAGAAAAAGGTCAACATGATTTGCAGATGTTTATTTCCATTTCTGACAAAACTATCCATTGAAATACACAACATTTAACTACACACTTCCAAGACTTTATCAAATATTGGACGATGTCACAATGTTGTAACAACAAAATCGGTTCCTTCTCAGTAACCATTAATTCAACTCCCACCAGTGTGACCGTATCCCTGCTCTATCTTATGCGTATGGATACAGAGAAGAGAAAATGAACATATATATATATATATATGTGTCCTTTCTTAACTTTTAACTCTTTAACATTTACAATATTTATGTTTTAAATTGAAGAAATGTGACGTTTCCAAAGGAAATCAATAAACTCAATGGACTTGACGTTTTTTTTCACTTGCTCCGTCCTTCCTCTCCTTCCCCCATATTCTCAGAATTAGACTTCACCTCCTCGGTGAGCGAATTATCCCTCAGTCCCAACATGGGCACCAGCTTCCCCTCCGAATCCACTCCCATCGGCTGGATGATGTCGTCTCTTTAACAAAACAAAACATCAACCCGTTTTTAGACATAAGGTGACACCAGATCGTTTACCGCGATGTTGCCGCCTCCCCCGACCTGGACAGCTTGTTGAAGAGCATGATGAGCCTCCTGGCCTCCTCCTCCTTCTCCTCCTCCGTCATGCCCTCCATGGGGTCCGGCTGCTGCGCCTCCACCCGCCCCGTCACCGGGTTGATGCGGTCTTTCACCTGCCGGTACTCCTCGGTGTCGGAGTCCGAGTCGCTGGAGTACTGGGCCGCGGAGCCGGAGGCCCCGGGCCCCTGGCCGCCCCCGAGCAGGCCCCGGGTGGCCAGCAGGCCCGCCGCGTTGCCGTAGCCCGTGTACTTGACGAAGCGGCTCACTGGGAGACAGACGCGGCGGTCAGACGGGGAAGTCAGGGACGTGAAAGGAGGCGTTTAATCGCGGTAGGATGAGAGGTCTCACCGTTTTCCTTGCAGAGGACAAAGATGAGGTCGGCGGCGCTGTGTTTGAGGTCCGTATCCAGGTGAGTCATGAGGCGCACCAGCCGACTCTTCACCGTGGAGCCTTCCTCCGGTCTGTGGGACGCGTCTCTCAGAGGAGGCAGGATCTAAAGACCGGGGGGATGGGCGTCAGTCATCTTTTCCAAGATTCTAGTCTACAACCGAGGACCCCGGGCGCTTTGTCTGCATTTACGTGTTTCCTGATGTAGTGGCGTGTTTCTCTGTGGGCCCTGCAGCTCTCCGTCAGCAGGTTGAAGACTGGCGTCAGCTTCTCCTTCATCTTGTCACCCTGAGGAGTCGACACACGCAAAGGAGGATTTTCGCTCGGGTGATTTGGCTCCCGGAGGAGAGTCGCTGCGTGCAAACGTTTCAACCTCGTCGCTCACCGACTCCAGGCGTCTCTCCATGAAGAGCACCAGGGTGTTGACGCACTCCATGTTGACCCCCGGGGTCCCGGTGGAGTCGGGCTCCTCGCGCACCGTCAGCAGCACATCCAGACACCGGAGGGGCAGCGCCGACAGCAAGTTGACCGTGTGGCTGTTGTTGGATTGAGGCGAGATTTCAGAAACCAATACAGAAATCAATACACGATAAATGACAGTGTAGGATTATTTAATTTTAATCAGCATCGTTTTTAAAAACACTTTTTAGGAGAGACTAGAACACGAAATATAAAGATATAAAAAACAGTCCCAGTACATTATATATTGCTCTGAACTGTAAGTGGCCTCTCGTGCCAATAGAGACTGAATCAAACGTTTCAGCTGGGAGAAAGAACCAGAAATCGTCCCTGACTTTGCATCAGGAAGTAAAAAGTGTGACGCCAGCTACTTCAAATGACGATGATGGACGCTTCTTCTCGCTCACCCCTGCAGCTCGTCGGAGTCGTCCAAAAGCAAACACTTCCTCATCAGGCAGAGACGCAGCATCGCCACCAGGTGTCGGTAGAGAGCTGCGTCATCCTAAAGGGGGGGGGGGGGAGGGGGGAAAATTACAAAAACACAGCACAGAACACTTGTACGCGTTTTATTTCCTTCCATGGACTCGTGGGTGTACTGACCTCACTCGGCTCCTGCCTGTGGGTGCTGTAGGTGACGTTGAAGAGGATTTTGAGGATCTCTATGACCCGCTGAGAGGCTTCCAGAGAGATGGGTGGTGCTTCTGGGTCCAGCACACACTCATACTGGTCCTTCCACTGGACCCCCAGACAGCTCTCCAGAGCTGCTGTGAAAATGGACACCCCTCCCTCCTGGAGGAGGAAAACACAACAGAACGAGGTGTGAGGCGAGAAGGAGGAGACCCCCCCCCCCCCCCTGTGGAGGTGAAAGGTGTAGTCGGCGAGGTCGGACCTGTTGGAGCTGCGTGCTGAGCTCTCGCCGCAGTGCCGTGACGAGGAACATCAGGCGCAGCTCGTAGAACTGAACGCTGGACGAAGACGAGCCGCTGGCGCCGGAGGACAGACGCTCCTTGAGGCCGCACATGAGCCTGGGGGACAAAACAACGACATATGGGACCAGAAGCACTCGTCCACAACAGCTGTGCGTACCCGAGTCCCCGGGAGGAGGCCCACCTGAGACCACTGAACCTCTCCTGCGCCCAGGCGCTGTTGTAGACCACATTGCACAACACCTTCAAGGCCTCCTTCCTCTGTGCCTCCTCTCCCGACGCCACCCCCGCCTCCTCCTCCTCCTCCTCGCCCTCCCGCTCCGGCTTGCTCTCTCTGCGGTCCCTCCTGCCTCTCTCCAGCACCTTGTGCCGCGCGCCGCCCCCGCGCGTCTCGTCCGCGCCGGCGCTGCCGCGGCCGGCGGGCCAGCCTCCGCGGTCCAGGTCTACGCTGTCGGCGGTGCTGACGTCGTCCTCGTCGAAGCACTCGCCGCGCCGGCCGCCGCCCTCCTCGTCGCCCTCCTCGTCGCCCTCCACGTCGCCCTCGTCCTCGTCAGAGGGACAGCGCGACACTTTGGCCTCGGCCAGGGAAGCGATGACGTTGTCGTAGAAATCAGAGTCCGGGTCGGCGGGCTCGTCGCTCGGGTCGCTCGCCGTCAGCCCGGCTAGTTTGGCCAGCGTCAGGAGGGCGTCGTCGGTCACCAAGGGGCCCAGGACCTTTTTGTCCCTGGAGAGGATCCTCAGGCTGCGGAGAGACACCTTCAACAGGGGGCCTTTAGCTCCCGTCCTGATGAACCTCACCAGGACGAGAGCTAAGTTCTGAGGACAGGAAGAGGAAAACAGGCCTTTAGTTTAACAACATTAGGAAGCGACGCAGAGCAGAAAGTAAACCGCTTCAGGCACCTGACGGAGGACGAGGCCTCGGTCCTCCTGCTCGTACTGGTCGCAGTCGGAGTCGGAATCAGCGTATTCCCTCACTTTATTTTTCCTGAACTGGTTCCCGCAGAGCAAAGAACAAATACACTCAAACGCAGTCACAACAAAACCTGCACTTGAACTATTCCCCAACTGCAGCAGCACTGTACCTCCTCTAGTTTCCGTTGCTTCAGGAGGTGGACAATCCGATATCAGCCAGCGAAGCAGCAGGAGAGGAAGGCAATGGCGTCAGAACATCATATTTGTGTGGCTTATATTTGTTGTGTCTTATCAGAATGAGTTCAAACCATAAAAAGATTCTTTTTAAGTTTAAAAGCTGCTGAGTAACTTTTATTGAACCAAGACCAGGTCGAGCCTGTGGATTACATCATGTACATCTGAGAGAATTAGGTCCACAAAACCAAACTGGATATGGTAAAACAGATTTATTGACCGTAAAATTAAATTAAATTATACAGATTATTCATGGAAATCATGTTAAAAAAATAATTTTTAGAAGGAATCCATATTAAACCAAACTAAAAAAAATCCAGAATCAGATTTGATTAAGACATTTTAAAATGGAGTGTTAATTTACATCAAATGATTCATTGTAACTGAATGTAAATGAAGTTGTTGCTTGAGCTGCTGTTGAACGAAGGAACGAGCTGAAGGTGTTGAATAGATTAACACGCAGTACGTTGGTTATTCAATCACTCTCCTTGGGCTCAATCTGCCTGAGAGCGGATCAGGAATAACTGATACAGCACAATTACTAATCACAGACAGGCTGTGGGGAGGAGGTGGGAGGAGGTGGGAGGAGTGTTGGGGTCAAGCTGGAGGTTTAAGGAGCACAGGCAGAACAGGGCCGTGTCTCAACTAACTTACTTTCCTCCGGTCCCTCTCTTCGGAATCGAAGAAGAAGCACTGGGCGTACTGAAAGAGAGAAGAGACGGCGTGATGATGTCCTCGGCCGCAGGGTTTCATCCCGACACACAACGCGCGCGTGTGTGTGTGTGTGTTACCTCTTTGTTGAACTCCTGCAGCTGTATCTGGACGCCATTCTCGTCCCCCTGCTTGATGCACTGGATAATCCCCTCCAGGTCCAGGTCCATGCTGCCTGCGTGCATGTGCGCACACACACACATACACGCACACACGCACGCACGCACACGCGCGCGCGTGCAAAGACATGCGGGGCACATTAATCATTCGGGCCATAACTAAATTAAAGTTACACAACGATAATGATGATCACAAGTGCGTGACTACTGTTTAACCAGAATGAGGAAATAAAATCCAATAAATGTAACATGAAAAAACAGATTTCCAACGAAATATAAATAGCATTTTATCATTTATCATTTTATCAGGAAACACATCTGTCTGGTCTCCGATAAACACAAACTGCATCTGTATATTTCACAGTCTATACTGAGATGTATCACATACACGCTGAACAGATTGCAGAGAGATTGCAGGAGTTTACTCATACGTTTGTGTGAACTTACCTTCTGCGAATCACCTGATCAGCCAGGTGGTGTAAGTGTATTAGAAGATGATGTACCGTAGGAGAGCCGAGATCCACTGATGTCTAGCGACCCACAGTGCTGTCCCAACTACGACTTTCCGTCAGCTGTCTTCTCCGTCCCCGTGGGCTCAGTGCACAACGCTCTGCCTTTGAATTTGCTGAATTCAATTGCTTTCCTTTTGCCTTCATGCACTCAGCACATCTCTCTCTCTCTCTCTCTCTCTCTCTCTCTGTTTAATCCAAGAGCGATGCCGGGCCGTGGCGTGGTTATGGTTATAATCCACTAATGGACTAAGCTTACATCTCCCAGTGTTGACCCTCGAGGCCTGAGGTTTTCCAGACTCGTGCTGCACATCTCCCCGTGTGTGCGCGCGCAGCTTTAACGCACTCTTTCAATCAAATCTCCTAATAGCATAGGAACTAACTGGGCAGCCATTAAGATCGGTGTTTTATCACGCCTCCATGGTTGTTGCGTAACCACACTGGAGCTTTTGGCGGCCGGAAAACAACATTGCTGAGAAATGCATCTGCAGAGGCAAGTCAGATGACATCAACGTCCGCCTTAAAATGCCGTTGTTCTTAAATAAATAATAAAACAGCTGAACTATAATGCTGTTTCTAACCCTGAACCACAAGGACGGGTTCATTTAAGGGTTGAGTCGACCCAAACGTGAAGTATGCCGAGGTTATTTCCTCCACTACAGGTGTGTATTTTAACTTCAAAATCTCTCTCTTCTCATCGACGATCGGTGAAAGCAACCTCCATGAGATCAGCCGAGCCTATTTTGGTTCTAATGCTTTTTGTTGTTGCAGCTAAGCAGCTAAACCCTACTTTCACCTGTCGTGCACAGCGTTCTGTGAAGACAGGATCCAAGTTCCCACACTTGTTGCAAAGTGTCTGGAGGGCCCTGAGAGGTGACCTCTGTGAGAAGACGACATGCGAGTGACAGGTTTCCCGACAGGATGCTCACTCTTGTGCCCGGCGGGTGGAGGAAACAGGGCCTGGGAGGTGCGAGGCAGCCGGCTGGTGGCTTCTGGCTGACAACAACAGGATGCAGGCTACGTCAGCGGGAGCGGGAGAAAAGTCAAAGCGAGTCCTGCCAAAGTGCTCTCGTGGAAGTGGAGGCCCGTTCCTTCCAGATGGACCAGGCGCTTGAGATGCACGACATCAACAAGTCGGAGCTACCAGAGGCCGGCGACCCGCGGCGACCCGCGGCGACCTCTGGAACCAGTAGAAGGACGATCCGCTTTGATCATCCTGACACAAACTAACACGATGAATCTCATCATAGCAGCTGAGACACAATGTGCTGCATGTGGATACAATTCAACTGACTTCTGTAAGCTTTACAGCTCAATCCACTCTAAAGGTATATTTGTGTATATATATATATATATATATAGAGAGAGAGAGAGAGAGAGAGAGAGAGAGAGAGAGAGAGAGCATGGACCTCCATGTGCTCAATGTTTGTGTCATAAATCACTAAATCTTTTAACAGTAAATAATTTACTGATTTTTACAACCTATTCTTCATTATTAATGTATACTTGTTTGCTTTGCAGGGACCAGAAATCCTGATTCTCCTCAAAAAAGATGAAAAACATGTTACCAGGTCTGCAACTAAGAAATAAAGGGAATGTTTGTGATCATACCACGAAAGCCAGATTAAACAATTGAAGAACTATTAAATTATTTAAACAGGTTTAATGTTCATGTTCTATTATATTTTGGTGAAATATGCTCGTATGTCTGTTAGAAATCATTTTATCAAAGCTAGGCAGCAGTAAATGTACAGGCAGAAGTTTACCCAGCGACTCTCCTCTGTGCCGTCTTGCACATTGGAGCCGCGTGAGAGGAAATGTGGCGTAAACCGTTTCTTTATTGCTTGTGTAATTCTTTTTTATTTCATTGTTTAATGCGTTATGCGTGCTCACCCGACACTAATGACTCAGTGCGGCCCTCTGACAGCACAAGCTGCCCAGATGGCTGTCACAGGAAAGCTAGACAATGGACCCGGGAGGGGAAGTTGTGATTCACAGAGATGGAGAGAAGCCGGCAAAATGGAGCTTGAAAAAAAGCGTGAAACCGGCTCCCCACAGATTAACTGTACTATTAAAGGTTAAAGAGTAAGGGTTCATTTCCTAGAGAGATGACACGATGGCCGTGTGCCAAACCTGAAAAGCTGAGTTCTGAATTATATGAGCACACCCAAGGAGGCAATTACTTTACGCCATGCAGGGAAGCTGTGATTGTATCAGAGTATCTGTTAAATGTGATTTCTGTTTATCCTTGAGGAAATGTTTGCCATCAACAAGTTGTTTTTGAAACACCCCGTGTGGGGGGGGGGGGATGTGAGTGAAGGACATTTCAGGAATAAACACAAGGACGGCAAATGTGACTCACGGGAAAAAGGCACCGGAAAATAGGGGCGATAAAGCAAAGCCTGCGGGAGAATTGGGGTTATTTTGGGCTCTGTGGGCTTCCTGCAGGTGATGGAAATGAAAGAACAATTTCTAGAACAATTGCTCAACAGCAAGTGGAGTGAAGGAGGAGAGGGAGGAGGGGGGGGGGGGGTGTGTGTGGAGCAAATAGAGTGAATATCAAGGATCAACGTAAACACATAAAGTACAAGCTCAAGTGCAATGTTGCGCTTGGACTCTCTTTTTTAAAGGTTGTTCAGGTCGCTGTCACAGCTCTTATAAATAAAGAAGGAAACTTCCACCACAGCCGATCAATCACGAGCGCGGGAGTTTTTCTGACAGTATAATGACCATGTTTCAGACACACCCCCTCACACTATAAAGGTCCAGAAGCTGTGAGAGGTCACAGATTTGGGCATCCAACCACCAGCAAGAGATTTCGGAGATTTCAGATTTTGTGATTTTCTTGGCAGTAAGTTTCATGTCGTGCCTCTAACTCATCATTTATTTGGAGTCGTGCAGAGCGTTTGTCGGGACTGAGTGTGTCAGGACAGGATGTTTTCCTCATGTTTTTTTCTGCCACAGGCCAGTGCGGTATGGAGATTATGTACGGAGCCATTCTGCTGTTGTTGACTGTGCCTTTGAGTGCTGCCACACCACTGAGACCCCCTCACAGGTGAGTGAAAACCCCCCGATATATATATACAGCTGCTGACAGGAGGGACAGTAAGGTGATGATGACACATGAAAGTCACAGCATTTATGCCTCAAAGACAAAAATGAACTTAAAAAAGATGAAATAAAATTGAGTTGTTTGGTTCATGACGTGCTGGTGTTAATCAACACTTTTTTCTTGGATGGACCCACAGGGCAACCGCGGACGTTGTCCTCCCCGGGGACAGCCTCCGGGCTTCAGGGCTGGAAAAGACAGAGGACACGCAGGAGCAGCATGCTCAATCCCCAAAGATCATCCCTTTTCATTCAGAAGACAAACATCCAAACCTGGAGACACTGAGACACAGGTTGAAAAGAGCATTTTCTTCATTTAGGCTCTTCTGATGTAGCTGTTCGCAAAACCCAAATGACACGTTTGTGATTTATTTGTAAACTGGACATTTTTTCAGCACATGCGTGTGTTTTAAAAGCCCCTTTTACTTCATCATCGTTCACAGCATGGCAGTGAGGCGGCGTCAGCGGCGTGCAGCCCAGCGTGGATGCCAGCTGGGGACATGCCAGCTTCACAACCTGGCCAACACTTTATACCACATCAGGAAAAAGAATGGAACGGATGAGTCAAAAAATGTCAAGGACCCGCATGGATTCGGCCGATAGGGCCAAGAGGAAGGACGGGATTATAAGGACTGAGAGGGGCCGTTCCTCTATGTATTTACAAAACCTAATCCTGTAAATGTTCTGAATGACTGGTACTTCTTATGGATATATGCTCATTAACCACATGCAATGGGGCTAAGTTAATACTGTGTGAAATGTTTAATCAAATATGTTTTTAAAACACAAATTCCTCAATATTTAAATGGATTGTTCAATAAATATTTAATAAGAACAACTGTCTGGAGCCTTGTGCATATTAACTGAAAAGGGATTGTTAGAGATCGATTGCTGCTCTGGCGCCTCGCGATTATTAAGGAGAGATACCGTACATGTATGACAAAAGTATATTATTATCTATCTTACTTTAATTTAACCGTAATAACCATATGTGCTGGCAGCAATGCGATGTTGAAAATGCAGAAATACTCCACCATCTGATTTAATGGTGGAGATCTTATTGGCTCACTCGCCCCACGTGGAATGTTGTAAATCCAGTTCTGTCTCTGTGTAGCAGCGGCCGTTAAAGCGTGTGGTGAGCAGGTCACGCCTCAGGAACAAAATGTCTGTGGTTTTAACTGGCAACCTCCTATTCACTAAAACGCAAAGGACTTGATTCCTAGAAGGCATCTACCTGTAAAACCACACCCTCACCTGCGTGATGCGTCTCACTGCTCCGCACCGGTTTACCCTCGTGCTACTGAGCAGAAACGATCGGTTTGGCAGGTTGCTTTTGAATAGGTTTTCTTTTTAGGTACCGCGATGCTGGAAACCAGACTACTCTTTTGAAGAATGGTCAAAAAGGAAACCTGAAGTATCTTTTACACCCACGGTTTTTCAGTCGAACAGAAAAGGGAGGGGGACAAAAAACATTATGAGAGACACAGGAAGAGGAGTTGACGGAGGCAACATCGATAAATCCGAGAAGGACCAGGTGGGTAGGCTTTTAAATTTAAAATCGCTCTGCTCCTGGAGCCAAACCCAGGCTAGGAGTTTTGATCATTTGAGTGCACGAAAAGTATTTTTGGTTGGAGTATAGTTTTGAATTTTTGAATAAAATCTATATTCTTTCATCCTTCATTTATATATTATTTTCTATATTTGCGGTATTGTATTTTTCGGTTGCAGATTTTCTATTTTCAGATACAAATATTTTTTTCCCTTTCAAACTTTTGGCCCTGATCTGGTGTTGGCGGGGTTGCATCAATTGAGAGGGTCGTGTAATCATGAGTGACATAAACTTTCAGGTTCACATGTGTTTTTCAAATGATCAAAACTTTTGGCCTGGATTTGGCTCCATACTGTAATACATTTTAACTGTATAAATAAACGCCCCTGTATTTTGTAGCGCTCGTATGCCATTTAGTACGATTGTCCGATGGTGGCTTAAGTGGTTGTCAGCTTAAGCTAATGTTAGCCTTTAAGCTATTGTTAGCTTGAAGGCTAATGTTAGCCTTTAAGCTAATGTTAGCCTTTAAGCTAATGTTAGCTTGAAGGCTGAAGTTAGTTTAAAGATGCACTTTTGACTGTCAATTAACTGACAATTAACGTCAACAACAATAACGTGTTTGCGTTATGTAACTTTGAGGGAAATATAAGCCTTGGACATTTTTTACGTTGAATTACTGTAATTAGCTTAAAATAAACATTATGGCAACGCTGCCGAGCGCGTCCATCATTGTGCTGTATTGTCATGACATTGGCTGACATGTTAGAACTAGCCTTACCTAAGCTGCCGAGCCAACACTCCTTACGGTTCTATGCTTGAATTTGAATCTGTAACAAACAGAACTTAATGGACCATCTTGTTGGGTTTAAACGCCCTGATAGACGGCCGTCTTCACGGTGTGACAAAGCTGTTAAGTTAACTTGTATGAGAATGGATTAAAAATGAGTTTATCTTGGTTAAATGAAAATAAAAACAAATTAAATTCAAATCTGTAAATAGAGTCCAGTTTCAACTTTTGAACTCTGAGGCTGATTTCTCTGAAACTACCGTCAGAAAACCGGGATATTATTACTGTCAAAAAAAAACACTTACAGGGTATTGATCCCTATAAAACATGGAGATAACAGGATACAAACTGATCCCCTCCCACTCAACCCTACAAACTTTAGGGTGGAACAGGAAGTCCAGTGTAGAGCCCTAGTTTGTAGTTTTGCACTGCAAAACGTACTGCGTGTACTGAGGATACATGGGCAGTTTTGGCCCACCACACACACAAGTTGTCCTTGAGACACTCTGACTGAAACCACAGCACCTCAGAAGTCAGAGCTGGGTATGTTTATGCACAGTGTATCTCAACACCTTCTTCTCCAAGCCAACGTTTATCATTCAAAAAATTTCCTGCACGCTGCAGCCTCATGAATTCCAAGCATCGATGGGAAGCGGTCGCTTTGAACCTTTGGAAATTGGAACAACATGTATACAATTTACCTGCCATAACCTGTTGGAAATGTCTTACAGAGTTGGATCCCCAACACCATCAAGAAACGAGTGTGCACAACATTTGTGGAAGATTCTTTAAGGTATTCTCAACTACCTTTTGTTGAGCCCATTCCTTTGTGGCCGCGGTGTTAACTTACTCGAAAGCGCCGAAGCGTCAAAGGGTGATCGTGTTTCAACTTGTGCTGTCCTCATACCTCCCTCAGTAATGGCGCTCTCTGTCAGTGCGGGGGTAAAAGAGATGATCACAGCTCCGTGGCTCTCGGTGACTACATCAGCACAGCGATTGTCAACCGTTGGGACAGCGCCCAGCACTCCTCTGAATACCCGACGGATGCCTTTGGAGAGTTGCAGTTCGCAGGAGGCGGCAAGAGGCAAAGCTATGTGCGTGGTGGTTCTGTTCCCTGGATCACTCGTTTCATGCTTTATCTCTTTATCTGTCCAATACAAAAGACTAGTGCCCAAATCAATGATGATGATTTAAATGCACACAGGGGCTGTAGTAGTCACTTTACTATACTAATCTTTAACCCACTGCCACACCTGTGAAAACAGGAAAGGAAATGCACTGACTGCACTACGCACATCTTTATTCCAAACTAACCCAAGACAATTGATGTATAATTTAGCGTGTGTTTTGATAAAGTCAAGTAATTTGTCGTCCAATAGAAGAAATGCGTTTGATCAAATGTCCATTTTGTCTCCCGTTATTAGTTCCTGCGTCTGTCATGGGACACCCCCCCGTCTTTGGTCTACAACCTGATGATTGCCCACTGGCACCTTCCTGCACCTAACCTGGTGGTTTCTATAGTGGGCGGAGAAGGCAGGACAAAGGTGAAGACTTGGGTGCGGGAGGTCCTGAGGCAGGGGCTGGTGAAAGCCTCACAAAGCACAGGTAAACACATTAAGAATGCAAACGGCAAGGTGTGATTTCTGTGATCGTGGATTGTGCTTTGCAGGAGAAAAAAAACGCTTGTTGTCTGTTCCAAAATTCATTTTGAAACAAACAACTTGCGTTTTTTATTTTGCTGGAAAAGTGCAGCTGTTACAAAACGGGGTACCATTACACTATAGGACTCCCTGGGGTCTGATCCTAATTTGGTAGTACAATGGCCATATCCTCCTAACTGTTGTGCCAAGTGCAGGTGGCACTCGGCTCCACTGATCTCTCTTCACCTGAGGTCACTTGGTTGTTCTCTCGAAGGTTCCAGCTCAGATAACCACACATATTGTATATTGCGTATTAAGTATAATGTAAATTCCAGATGATTATATAAAATAAAATATAGATGTGTGAAATATTGTCTACATGTTCATAAAATCCAGCTCACACTGTTCACATTCCATTTGAGTGTGGTGGAGTGTGGCTTTTCCATCAACCTGGGGCAGATGTAATTAGCCAATAAGTCAGTTTTAGGCATATATTTTTTTGCAAAACTCAAAATGGAAAACCCTTTCTCAAGAACTTTCCACAAGCTAAAGGTTCCTGTTTTTACTGTAACCAGGAGCGTGGATCCTAACTGAAGGCTTGCGAGAAGGCGTTGGCCGGTGTGTTGGAGAGGCGGTGAGGGATCATGCAACCGCGGCCTCGTCGGTGTCCGTCAACAAGGTGGTGGCCCTGGGTGTCGCTCCCTGGGGCCTGGTGGACAACCGACAGCAGCTGGTCAACCCTGAGGTGGTTCAGACACTCACACATCGTGTTTACCAACTTGTTTAGTTCACCCAATTATACCCACCAGGGATCAACCAAATGTAATCCTCTAACATGCCACAATTTCGTAGAAAAAACTGAACAAACGCTGCTATATCATATCCTTTGATTGTTCCTCCTGCAGGGCAGCTTTCCTGCTAAGTATTTCGTCCAGAACATTTCCCAAGAATCCTACTACCTCGACAACAACCACCAGGCCTTCCTGCTGGTGGACGATGGGAGTGTGGGACGCAGAGGAGAGACGGGGTTTAGGGCCAAGCTGGAGGACTACATCTCCCACCAGCGCACAGGCTCCTGTGGTGAGAGATGGTATATGGAAATCTCATGTATGTAGTGGAGGAACAGGGAAACTGCTTGCCATTGCCTCGCTAAAAACATGACGCTAATGACTAACGGAGGTAATACAGTTAAAAAAAAGAAATGTTGTTCCTTCATCTGACTGTTGAAACTATAAATGGGAAACCCAGTGTCCATGCATGAAGAATATATCAGAGCTCTGAAAAATTAAATATGGTTAAATATGGCCGGTTGGAAATACGTCTCCAACTATGATCAAAATATCTTCATTAAAGCGAAGCCGGTACAAAAAAATATTTCACTAATGCTCTGTATTAATTAATTGTCAACAATGTTTTGTAGGCAGCGGCAGCATTGACATCCCCGTCCTTTGTATGCTGATATCAGGGGACGCAGGCATGCTGGAGGTACAGACGCTGCTTTCTATGTCTGTTGATTACCACAAAGAAGTTACTGGCTCAATTTTAATCATAAAAATTCGTTAAAAAAAATTTTGTATTCTGAACCCCCCTCCCAAAAAAAATCTCCCTCCCTAATTTCTACCAGAGAGTCGATCTCTCTCTTAAAAGCTCCATGCCCTGGCTGGTGCTGGCCGGCTCCGGAGGCCTGGCCGACTTCTTGAGCGACGTCTTGGACAATCTGTCATCAGCCACGGCCGTCCAGTCGCCCGGTGAAGGAAACGCCGAGGCGTCTCCCAGCGTGAATCTGAAAGACAAAGTAGCAGAACGGGTCAAGAAGCACTTCCCTGCAAAAAAGGAGCAGGACAAACTAGTCGAATTGGTAAG